AATTGGCAAAACAATCTCAGTAGCTGGGAGGGGCTCAGGGACTCATCCACGAAGTGCTATTACCCCAAAGAGCATGAGCCACCTTTAATCTCAGGACAAGGGAAGATTGCCGTTCCCCAAGCCACAGCCATTGTACAGAGCAGCACGTAGAGGGTCCCAAGTACACAGTAACCTCTAGGTCAGTCATTAAGCTGCTCACAAGACCACATTCCTTTCCCATGTAGACATTAGATTCACCCTTGTAGCTGTGGACTACCCCAGAGATAATATAGGTATTCCACTTTAGTATATATTAACTTTGTCTTTACTAAACCAGACAGGATTTATTTCTAGGCCCTTGTAACCAGAAATTTGCTGCCACCCTAGCCTGAGGCTGAAGTTCTCAATCTGACCTGGGGCTCAAGTTCTCAAGCCGATCTGGGACTGAAGTTACCAAGCTGGCCTGGGACTGAGGTTATTAAAATTCCTGGGAGCCCTCTCATCCAAAAGACCCTCCCCGGTAATCAAGATCTAAGGAGAGAACGCACTAGACAAATGAACTTCCTCGTTCTAAGAATTATGACTGTTTATACCTAAACAAAACAGACGTCATGTTTTATGATCATTGTTCCTATACTTTGAATGCTTTACCTTTTGGAGTAAAATCTTTCACTTTCTTCCCCTCACCCATCCTACTCCTATAAAACTCCTTCTATAATAAATACGCATGTGTCCTGGTGATCAGGGCTGCAGTCTGGAGCTTACTCTGGCTGTAGCCGGCTGAGAACATGCTAAAGAGCATGAGGTCTCAGTCTGATTCCTGTTCACCCGTGTCACCTTCCTGTGTACCCACCCTGGCTGGAGCATGGCTTCCGTCAGGGGTGGAGATAAACTCATTTACAGATGATTTTTTGGATGTTACGTAGACAAATCAAGCCTTTTGTTCATTTCTGGGGTAATTAGGTTATATGCTGTATTAGACGGTTGTCGGTATTAGACCACGTTTGCCATTAAAGATGAAGTGGTGAAGCAGGTGCTGTTCTGTACCATCGAAAGGGGTGTGCTCTCGTCCCACTTGGCTGATTTTGTGGGCTCCCTGCGTTCCTGAAAAGGCTCATTATTGTCACTGACGATGCCTCACAGAAGCCCTTTGTGTCATTATTTAGTGACTGACTGCTTTGGCAAAAGCTATGTCAATTCTTTTGTTAACTGTAACAGCAGTCAAAAATGATGTAAGGGAAGAAGGGATAAATGAAACAAAGACTGCGAAGTGCGTGCACATGTACACATACACATCTTTTAGATCAATTTCAGGGTATGATCTGGTCTCGTGTGTCACATAAAACACTGAACATCGCAATGTAACATTCATTTTCTGATTCTCTCATTCAGATGTGACCTGTTACCAGCAGCAAATTCATGAGTTTTTCCTTGCTAGCTTCCCTTTGGCCTTACTGCTCTCAGTCAGAAGGGACAGCTTAGTGGTTACACATGGAAAGCAGAACCACTCCTTCCGGTGCACATTCTTTGCAAGAAGATTACATCTTTGTATCAACCCTCTTTTCCTGAAAGGTTGGGGATAGGAGATGGCTGTATTTACTCTTGTTGGAAAGCCAAGATTTGATTTGACTTTCACTCCAAGAAAACACTTGCTTCTGTAGAAACCAGAAATGGTTAGGAGTTGGAGAATTAGGACCTTACATTTTGCCTCCAGATAAAATGCTTTACATTAAATTTGTGATGAGATTTCTGGCCTAGCAGATGATGTCACGTCTGCAACATGGTGTGGTGTGCATGTGTGCTTTTTAACAATGAGCACTGTAGACGTGGAACTAGTTACATGGGCTTTTCTGGTCCCTTTGTAGATGTGAAGCCCTCCAATATGCTAGTGAACACAAGAGGACAGGTCAAGCTGTGTGATTTTGGAGTGAGCACTCAGGTAGGTCTCTCCTTCCTCCCAGCGTGCTTTCATCCCTGCAGTCCCCACTTTCCCCACTTTCCATTTTCAACCTACTCTCCGGATTGAAAAAAATGACCCAGCTGCCAGACAAACAGAAACTGCATCTTTTCCTCGGCTGGGAGTGTGATTCATTTTTAATCTCCGAGCGCGTTTCCTTCATCAGAATATGATTGTTCATTGTTTAATGACAGTAAAAACTGCTGATATTGTAATTACTACTTACGAATAGCAAACTTCATTGATATGCAGCTTTGATATGAAAGCGTTTTGGCCAGACAAAAGGGAGGGCAGAGTGGGAGCTGTGCCTGGGGAGCCCAACTGGCCCACAATAAAAATTAATATTGGGAGCAACAATGGTGGAGGGCCATTACAATGTGCAGCACAAATTTTAATTAATTTCCATTTTGGGCCTCCCCTGAGTACCCCGGTGATAGTGACCCACGAGCGTGCTGTGATGTTGATTTGAATTGCAGCCACCTTTACTCCCAGCCAAACACGAAGACCAAAGCGAAGGTCATCGCTGTATTATGAGTTGTCAAAGTCTGTTATCCCTCCAGCGTATTTAGCGCGCGCCTCATTCTGGTGCGCCACAGGGCTTCGTTCACTCCTTGAGCCATCTGACTTGAAAAAACGAGTGTGTTCACATCCTACTTCAAATTGACTTTTTATATCAGGCGGGTTTGGGGTACTAAAGCGATACGCATCCTGCTTAAGTGAATTGTTTAAGGTTATCTGCTATAAACCGTAATGCCGTGCTTGTTTAAATTGGAAATCGCATTCGAAAGAAAAGAGAGATTTAATCATTTTTAATGCCTTTGTAGATAAATTTGTTCCCTTTTACATAATTTTTAGTTGATTTATAGGAATGATGATTGTAGGTTAAATGAGGAATAATTGCCCATTTTATTTCCACATTATCTTTATATTGTTCTAACAGACTGTTTTGTCTCATAGCTGGTGAATTCTATAGCCAAGACGTATGTTGGAACAAATGCTTATATGGCGGTAAGTAAACTTATGCAAAAATAGCATTTAAAACCAACATCTTTATCTTTATGTACTCAGTAATGTATAATTCTTGAATTAATTCCACAGTGTTAGCCGAGCAGACCATAAATTACAAAGTCAATCCAGACATGATCCAATTTTTAAATCTTTCTAAAAGACATTAGGGTTTATACAGGAGCTACCAACGTATCTGACTGTGTTGACTTAACTGGTTGATTCAAGTGTGAAATCGCTGAGTTTTGAAGTTTAGTCCTACAGAAAAATTGCACCTTATAGCACATTGGCTACTTTCCCACGTTGCTTATTTAATTAATCTTCAAGTGTACCAAAATATCAGTCAATAAGATCGGCTTTTTTTTCCAGGAATACAAACATTCTTTGTCATCTGATCAAAATTAAATTATTGATGTAGCCAGCTTTTATTTATGGACCTCTGGATATAAGAGTTTAGCAGATACTTTTCTTTAGAACTCGTACCTATATATTTTGTTTAGTTGTTGGGTTCATGGTGATTATAAGATACCTTATCTGGTTTCACTGAAATAAATATACCAAAAATAAAAAATAGAAGCATACAGCTGTTCCAGAGACCAGTGTGGGCTTCATTTTGACCTCTTTTGAGTAAGGAAGGCTATTTGCAATCATAGAAAATGCCATATTTGGGACCAGCATGTGGCATAGTGGTTAAGGAGCTGGACTCCCACATGGCTAACTACAGTTCAAGTCCTGGACCTGGCAGCTCTCTCTCTCTCTCTCTTCTGGTTAAATTAAAGTAATAATAATTAAATTATTAATTTAAAAATATATATCACAGTGTTTTCATTTCCACAATCTCTTCAAGAGTGTGAGAGGAGGGGCTGGCAGGTGGCCTGGTAGTTGAGGGCACCAGACTCTCATATGTCCAACCACTGTTTGAGTCCCAGACCTGGTGGCTTGCTTTCTCCCTTCCCCCCCCCCCTCTTTAACTCTGTCCCTCTCTGGTCAAATTAAAATAAACAAATAAATAAAGTTAAATAAAATAATTCTCTTTTTTGTTTTGAAGATTGTTTTTTGTTATAGGGCATGTGCATGCACCAGAAAGAGAGAGACAGAGAGACAGAAAGCAAGAAATCACCTCCCGGGGGGGATGGCCACGCCGCAATCCTTTCTCCTCTATTCTCCTCTCAGGACTTGGGAATGGATGCACATGCGCCTGGCGTGAGTTTTAGCCCTCGGGTCCAGGCCTTGAACCATGGTTGACTACATGGGAGTCCAGCGATATAGCCATTACGCTAACCACTGGTCACAAATAAAATAATTCTTTAAAAAAAAAAAAAGTGTGAGGGGGTAAAAATACATGCAGGAAGCTTACCTGGTATCACTTTTAGAGCTGAGTTGTGTTTTATTTTAATATCTTAAAGTTAATATTTGTAATGAAACCTTCTAGTTTTATATAAGTAGCCCCTTTTACTTTTGATAGCATTGGCTTATGCATCATGAAATGCACTGATGTTCGTATGGATAGAAGTGTGGGTCTTACACTCAATATTCTTTATTCCAGTATTATCTTGATTTAAAAGATCTCAGTGTAGATGGACCCTTGACCTTATTCTCAAAATACTGCAAAACATTTTGTTTTCTTTCAGATAACAGAACAGTTCATTTTTATCTTGCATGGTTTTAAAAGAAAATGTATTCTTTGTCATGTTTTGAGGTGATGTAAGAAAACTAATGGATTAACCTCTGAAGTCATCGTAACTGTTTTCATGACACTTAATCACCTTCCTGGCTCTACCAGGCTAGATGGGATTGGTGAGCCACATTATAGTTAACAGAGTACTGTTGAACGTTACAATTTCAGTTTTTAAAAAGAACATGAAACAGTGTGATTTAAAAACGAAAAAACAAAAGCATACCCAAAAACCTGCCAATGAAACACCTCAGCTCCCCATCATGTTCTTAGTAGCTTTAAATTGCTCTAATAATTAAATTGCATTATGTTTGAACATACAAATCCAGACTACAGTTGTCTTCCCAAGTGTACATTGAAGAAATTACTTTTCTTCCTTTTTGTTTATGGATGGATGTGATGCACCCATCTGTTAATTGAAAATGTGAGGATTAAAATTATGAAATGTTAGCTCAGATTGGCAAAGCTAAAATTGCCTTGCTTCCTGGGTGAGTGAATTCCAGTCATCATCTTTATAGTGGGAGCTATAAGCAGCCTAAGACAGCAGGGGAGGGGCAGCGAGCGCCTCGCAGTGAGAGCGGGAGCTTCACTCTATCCAGTCGGCTCTCGCTGGCCAAGCTTTTGCCTGTTTGGTGTGCAGTCAAAGGTTCAGGGAGACCAAAGATACGTATAACCTGTATTATTCTATTTATGGGTATTGATACCTGCCCTCGAGCTGCTGCAGTCTCTTCAGGGAGAAGTGCTGGACGTTTTGTTGTTTGGGGTTTTTTATAACCACAATTGGTTCTCAGTTTAGCTGGTCTTCTATAATTTTGAGTTGAATATGCGTCTCTATGGCAAGTGTCAATGAGCGGTAGCTCTCAGACCAAATTCGGCCTACTGCCTGTTTTTGTAAATAAAGTTTTATTGGAACACAGCCGTGCCCATTTGTTCCATGCATTCTGTCTGGCTGCTTTAGCACCACAGTCGGAGAGTTGAGTACTTGTGACAGTTGCAGCAGAGAGCATATGGCCTACAAAGTGGCGAATATTTACTGCCTGGCCCTTTACAAAAAAAGTTTGCCAACCGCAGTCGGTGCCAGTGAAAGCTGTATCTGAAACTGAGTATCTTCAATTAATCAACCAGGATTTGTTGAGCTCCTTCCATGCTGCCGGTCGGGTCCAGTGGAACCATTCTATCATCTGGATGAGATGCAGGCAGGATAGGAACATCCCTTTATGCAGCAGCATTGTGTGTGACTTAACTAAGGCCGACGTTATAACGGGCACTTAGGAAGTTAGAAGGCACACGGGGCACAGACGTGGTGATTCAGATAGTGTGTGCAAAAGGCGCTTGCCGGAGAGGACTCGCCGTGCAAGCAGGAGCAGAGGCTCAGAAATAGAAGGCACTGTGGCCTGGCTGGGGCAGGGAGGTGGAATAGAGCACAAGTAATACGTTCTGAGAACACATAAGTGGAGGTGCTCTCCTGCAATGACCCCCTTTTACATCTGTTTCCCTTACCTTATGTCCACTCATACTCTCTACAGTGATAGTAACATCAATAATAATAGTAAGGACAGTTAGCACTGTGTGCCAGTGGCTCTCCCAGGCCCAGACATATATGAGTTCTTTAAATCCTCACAGGAGCCCTATTAAGAAGGTACTATTACTGCTCTCATTTTACAGATAAAGTGGAGGTAGGAGAAGTTCGGTGACCAGCTCCGGTTCTTAGAGCTTAGCAACAAAGTCAGGGTTAATGTCCGGGTCTCTCACCGTGTCCATACTGCCCACATCTCCTCCAGTCTAGATGAGTCAGGACAGGGTTTACTCTGCTCACTCTGTGTCCAGTGAGAAGACAGAAGGGGAAGGTTGTATCCAAGGACACACTACTTTTTAGGAGTAGAAGGGTTTTCAGCTGTCATCTAAGAAGGATGATCAAAGGGATCTGGATGGCTTTGAGACCTAAACTATTTCTCAGAAGTTCTTTTTTGTTTGTTTGAAATATATAATTTTGTTTGTGATTGTGTAACAACAGAGACAGTATATGTCAACTACTCAAACTATTGCAAAGCAAACACCCAGCACACAATTCACACATAAACCTTCTCAATTCAGCCCTGGCTACCTAGTATTCTGTGAAAAACCGTCTGCTAGCAAAGATCAGTCTTTTTCTTCCTTCAAAGTTGTCCTCAAAGTAATCCTCTGGTTGTGGCTGCTCTTTTGCAATCATTACTGATTACAGTGCTGGGCTGGAGAAGTCCAGGTTACTTTATGGTACAGATTCTTTCATAAGGCTTCTCTAATCCTCTCTGCCAGGCAGAGCTGTTTATGGTGCCAGGCCATCTTTTCAAGAGCTTCCGTTGACTTACTTGAGATCTACCTTAGTTCCATAGTTTTCTGGTTTAATCTTCACATGTGACATTCCAGTCAAATCCCTGTCCAATAACAAGTATTTCCAATTTCTGATTCAAGGCAACAGATATTATTGAACTTATGCAAATAACCATTCTGCCACAAATAATACTCCCAAATATTTTCTTATTCCAGAAGGGTCAGGGAAGGAGAAAGGTTTATGTTTCCATTAAAAGAAACAAACGAGAAGAAAAAACATTCTAACCAATTGCCGATCCTATCAACAGCTCAAAAGAAACCAAAATCTTTACATTGGGGGGAGAAAGCATAGTGAAAAAAAAAAAAATCAGTAATGTTTTACTCAAAAGCCATAAAGTTCTGTTTCACCAGTTCAGTCTCATGTGATTTCTCTCTCTTCTGTTGAATCTGCAGTGTCACTGTGGCCCGATCTTTCCGTTTAAATCCCAGAAGTGAACATTCAGCGTTGTTATTGATATTTCTTGTCCCTAGCATTAAGGTGGTCATTTTCTTGGTTACTTTTTGTTCTCTTATTTCTGTATGTGTGTCTTTAGTTTTTCTGGTAAAGCACTCCTTTCAGAACTTGTTGAAGAACTGTTTTGGTGTTGATAAATTCTTTCAGGTTTTGTTTATCTGAGAATGTGTTTTTATCTTTTCTTTCATATGAAGGATAATCTTGCTGGGTTTAGTATTCTTGGTTGAAATTGTTTTGTTTTGGGTTTTTTTGGAGAGGTTTTTTGCGCATGCGCTCGCCAGACAGACAGAGAAAGACATAGAGGCTCGCCAGACAGACAGAGAGAGACATAGAGACAGAAAGCGAGAAATCACCCCCCAGGGGGGATGGCCACGCCTCAGTCCCTTCTCCTCCATTCTCTTCTCGGGATCTTGGGCACACACGCACACGCGCCCGGCGTGAGTTTTAAGCCACCGGGTCTGGGACGCGAACCGCGGTCGAATATGTGGGAGTCCAGCGACATAG